GAGTGAGTGAGTGAGTGAGTGTGTGTGTGTGTGTGGGGTAGGACACAAATGGCAGCAGACTGGAGATTTCTCTTAATGTAATTTCTACCAGGCAGCACCATACTGAAGTTTGTTTACAGCGTTTGGCTTGGTATCCTGTTCGTAGTCATACAACCACCTTTAGCACAGTAATTTTGTGTTTCGTGTTAAATCACCATAATTAACGCTGTTTGCTAAGGCGAGCATGACTATTACTGTAGCTCATACTTAGAATTAGGGATTCGAACAAACCCCTGATGGTATTAAACTTAAGTGTAACCCTTCCTGCACTATTTGTGCCTCAGATCTTGCAAGCTTATTGAAGAGAAGCACGCCATTACTTTTATAAGCGTAAATGGCATTGAAAATGACATTTCCAACTTAAATTTGTTATAACTATTGAATGTACGGACTTTGGAGTACGGACTTAAGTTTTTTTTTTTTTTTTTTTTTTTTTTTTTTTTTTTAAAGAAGGTGCTTGGCAGATTATTGTAGAAGTGAAAAAAGTTATGCAAGTTGAAGTTTATGAAAACTTATACTACGGGGCCGTTGAATGCTTGAATCTGATTGACTGACGAACGTTCTGAGGTGTGCAATTATTTTCAGGGAAACGTACGGCGAACGTAGTACTGTTCCATATCACTTCGCATAGTTAACTGTAATAATGGAAATTAGCATACAGTACCTATACAGCACACAGGAATTACTGCAATCACACGTGCTCGCACACGCACACTACGGTCACGCAGTTTGCACAAAAAGGTGTTGTCAGCGCTGCCCTGACGATTTTATAAGTTAGCCTATATAGTGTAGCAACTTAAAGGCTACACATGACATTTCTCACTAGCGAGGTAATAACAGCGCTGTTTAGAGACGCTGCTGCAGAACACTGTTGAGGGACGCACAGAGGTAGCCTAATTCACACAAGCTCTCTTTCGTTCTCTTTCTCTGTGTGTCTCTTTCTCTCTCGCTCTCTTTCTAATAACTTCATTAATAACTGCATTAGAATGCTATCAACGGCTCAAGCCTCCATTACCGCTTCACATTGTGGCCGCATCACCACCTCGGGTGTGCATTATTTTTCTAATAGTTCAACGGCCCGTCATCAATTATTCCTTACATAAAATGTAAAAATTAACATTTCAATATTTTATATAAGATATATATTTTAAATACATGTTGAAATCTAAAACTGCCAGCAAATTAAAACCAAAAATCTCAATGAGTTGTGTTCCAAATTTGAAGTTGATATCTCTAAAAATGAGCTTTCAGTAACATTTTGTTTGGGTGCAGTTCCACACTTTTCCACTAGATGACCATCAAACCCCATTAGTGACCATATAAGGGCGCCCTCATTTCCATATATGGTTTGAGTAATCTGAAACATGTTTTTCCGTACTTTCTCAATATTTATGAAGTAAATAAGACATCATATTCAGAGGTATTATGGGCAGTATAACAGTATTTGATTTTAATTCAACCTCAACAATTAACAAGCACAAAAATAAAGAGATGCGGCGTGAACCCTGAACGGCTGTTATAGTTCATGCTGCATCACAAATGGAGAATCTGTCAGTTTGTCTTTATATTCAAAACATTTTTAGACCTTTTTTCTAAAAAAATAGAATGGATGTTATCTTTTGAACAATTGGTATGAAAATTAAAGGTTTTTACCAATTATTCCTGATTTTACATGTGCATCGCTATTTCAAAATAAAGGTCAGAACTCACTCGCTGACTCTGAAAACTTTTGTTGCAAATCAATAAATTATGGTTGCTCTGTAAAGTATATCGAAAATAAGTCATAAATATCAGTCACAATAATCAGTCACAAGCCAAATATGAAAACTAGAGTCTTTAAGCTTTCAAATGAAATATAGTTTCTCAAGATTACTTTAGGTTTAGACTAAGCTATTACTGTTATAATCATGTAATAACTAATTAGCCCACCGGTGTCGTAAACGTTACTTTAACTGCAAGATATGAAGATGTATAGATGTTTCCTTTTTTTTTTTCCTCACAGCATTTAAATGAGTTTAAGTATTAGTAATACTTTTAGTATTAATAATATTTTTAATAATAATAAATAATTTTAAGTCATTCTGCATCCCACTGTTTTTGAGAACCACTGTTTTTAGATCATGAAGAAATATTCATTCAGGTGTGTCTAAACTTTTGACTAGTAGTGTAGTAGTGAAATCTATTTTTAATAATGATATAAAAGTAATAATGATACAATTCTGTAGCAAATACATTGACCATTTTGAATTGTCTTCATATATGTTGTTGTCAAAATATGAAATTGAAAGACACAAACCAAAATTGACTAATACATGAAGTTTTTAGGTATTAATTATTATTATTGACAAAACTATAATTGAGTAAATTGACCATGGTGAGTAAAAAATGCATAGGGCTCATACTGACCCCATGTATGAAGTCTCGTGTAGTGATACAAAAAATGTAATTTTTTTAAACATATGACCAACAAATATGTACATGCTGAGGCTCATATACCTGTATAAGATTTATGAATAAGAAAATGGAATATTAAAGTCCCCATGAAATCAAAATTAAAGTTTTTTGGGTGTTAGTATCAATATGTTTGTCTTAAGGTTATCTATTTTTTCAATATGTTTATTGTCCTTTTTCTTATTTTATAAACGCACATCAGCTATACATGTAGTAACAAAATAACCTATGTAACACCAGAACAAGTACACAAGCATACACCCCTTCACTTACACGTTCAATTAACACTTTTTTTTCTTTAAAAAAATGCATAAATAATAATAAAATAAAATAATAAAATAAATTAATAAGTAAATATTTCTAAAAGTAAAATAAAATACAATAAAATAATAATAAAATAAATAAATATATAAATAAATTTGTTACAGAGAATGTTTTACAATGTCTTTTTCAGTAAGGTCTACATTTCCATTTTACATGATATTTATGTATGGCTCCCATAGCTGATCAAAGTCTTTCCGTCTACCCTTAGCAATGTAAGTTAGCCTTTCCAGTCCGATACAGTTCGATAACTCCTTTGTCCACATTTTCATAGATGGAGCATCCATACTCTTCCAGCCTAATGCAATAACTCTTCTGGGTTGAAGGAGACCAAAGTCTACAAGTTTAATCTGCCTTGATGTTTGTATAACGTCCATTGGATATATTCCAAGAATACAAAGTTTTACATTCAAAGGAATTGCAATATTAAACATGTCTGACAAACATTTTATAACCTCCTTCCAAAAGTTTTGATACCAGCATTTTTTCACCTTACAACAGTTCCATAGAGATTATAAAGTAGTCGATGCGTGAGTGAGTTTTATAGGAACTTGAGTAACAGGAATATTCTCTTCTATTTAGGTTTAGCATTCTCCAAACTTCAATTAATCTTAAATCCTTCATATAATCAATTATTGTTTTTCTAGTTTGTATATGAGTTGCATCAATTTGGGTGGATCTGTCCAATACAGGATCGAGGGTACAGTTAAAATCTCCTCCAATAATATTAAATCCCTCCAAAGCAGACACGGTTAAAAATAATTTCTCAAAAAATAATGGGCTGTCATCGTTTGGACCATAAATATTTATAAAGTTAAGCTTTTGTGTCAAAATACTCCCCTGAACAATAATATATCTTCCAGAAGGGTCCTGAATGGTTTTTCTAACTTGAAATGGCAATGACCTATGAATCAGGATAACTACGCCCCTTGCATGACTATTAAAAGTTGCATGAAATACTTGGCCTGGCCATCTTTTATTCAAGTAATGTATATCTGATGCAACCAAGTGTGATTCTTGTAGAAAAACTATTTTAGATTTGAGATACTTTATCCTATTCAATACTTGTTTCAGCTTGGCCAATTTTCTCATTCCACGGACATTCCAACTTGTAATTTTAATATCCAGACTGTCTGTTAGTTTTGTAACAGCGTAGCTCAGCCCAAGATCCCAACAAAACAGTCAATACCTGTCAACTATGCACATTCAACTTAATATATTGATCTTCCCTTTTAACTGTAAGAATATGTAATTCAACCGTATCAAAACAAAACAATACCCCTTTCTCTAATATACATAACCTACAAACCGTATAGAACAAAGTCAACTCAGTTGTACCCAGTCGGTGCGTCGTGCAAAGAAAAGGAAAAAAAAATTATTTACAGTAGGTAGGCTACGTTATATTTAAAATTTAGCACGCGCCGACTAAATATACTTCGAATTATTTAAACTCACTCCTACTATAACATCTCGGTTGTCCGCTGTTATCTACAGATGTTCCAGCATCGTTACATGTTGGTTCAGTAGATCACCCGACTGTAGATTCTACGTTGACTGTGGGACAAGGAATTAAAATGCCATTTTTTACTTAATTTTGTTTATAAAGCACCTTTCAGGCTACAAAGTAACTCCAAAATGCTGTTAGTTAAAAATAACATACATGTTTGGAAAATATATTTAAAAAATGACACACTATTGGGTCAATTTGACCCCTTTCTAGGATTAAACTGTATGCACATGCAGTATTTATGGACCAGAATAACACAGGCTTTTTTGACTTGGTCTAGTAATTGCATAGCAACAGTTTGAACATCCTAGCAACCACATCACAACACCCTAGTAACATGCATGGGCACACAAGTTATCTGTATTTTTAAAGATGTAACAATTCTGTCTATAATAGTCGTTGTCTGAGAATTAACTTTGACAGTTATCATGCAGTGCTAATAAAACTCATTCTTTACCAATTATTTTTGTTTAGAACTCATGTATGTTGACGCACTTTTACATTAATAATCTCACCTGTTATTGTGCGTGTCAGTCACAGTCAGTGCGCCCGTCTCAGTCTATAAGCTGTAGTGTGATCTTAATTATTTTCGCCCATGAGACGCTTCTCCACTTGATTACTGATTGGTCCCTAATGGGAGGGACTGACTTGATTAGATTGGAATCCTGACAGCCTTTAAGTCTTTACTTCGGTTATAACAATAACAAAACCGGACAGCAGATGCAAGACATTCATGCAGGCCAGTATTAATAGACTTTGGTGTCAGCGAACCAAAGTGTCCTGTCAATTGGTCACACTCTCATTATGCTGTTTCTCAAATAAGCATGTGAGCATGTCGTAAGTTTCATTACTTCTAGTCTGAGTCTGTATCTTAAAGTTGCGATAATGCTTGACACTTCATTTACATTTCAGCCAATCAGATGCGATCTGAGGGACTGGTTCTTATTGTTTTTCTTTTAACTCTAAGAATCTGACTTCATTGACCAGCGTCGCACGTAGATATGCAATTCCGAAGGTGTTTAGCAGGGTTGATCCTCATCACTGGGGCCGTGATCTTGTCACATGAATTTGTTCCTGTTCAGAATGAGAAAGCTCTTAAAATGATGTGGCCCATAATTCTGCAGTTGTACCTAATCTTGTTTTGATAAAGCCGAGTTTGTTTAACGGCCGAACACCCCGTGAGATTTGGTAATATGAAGTTTGATATGAAATTAGTGTTTACATACAAAACTGTTACATCTGTAAATTTGTATTGAGGGCACATATACTAGAAGTTTGGGGTCAAGTCTCTTATGTTCACCAAAGCAGCATTTATTTGAATAAAAGTACAGTAATATTGTGAAATACAGTATTACTGCAATTTTAAAATACTGTTTTCTATTTTGATATATTATATTCTATATTTTATATTCTATTTTAATATATATCTTTATGAATTTTCAGCATCATTACTCCAGTCTTCAGTGTCACATGATCCTTCAGAAATCATTGTGATATGAGACACTTCTTACTATTGTGCTGCTTAAAATGTTTTTTTTTTGAGAGGAATAGACATTTCAAAAGAATAGCATTTATTTGAAATATAAGTCTTGTGTAACATTATAAATGTCTATTCTGTCACTTTTGATAAGTTTAATGTATCTGTTTAATGTGTCTGCTGTATATTCATAGAAGTATGCAGTATGAAGGTATTCATTCATTCGTTCAGTTCTTTAAAAACAAGTAAAATCTTACTGAACTTTTGAATGGTAGTGTAGTTAATTTCTAGTATCTTTACGTGTAGCATGGGCTTTTAAATGGTCATGACTGGAGTTTAAAAATTGGATGTCAATCTGCACAGACATGTTTAGTGAGTTTGACACTTTAGTCACGTCTTAAATCACATAATATTTAAGTTTTATGTCAATGCTGTTGTGCTTTTTAACATTTAGTCTTATAAATGCATCACTTTAAAAGCTATTTTTGTTTTTGACAAACATAAATTTCCATAATAATCGATTGCAGCTCATAGATATTGGTGATAGAGCTTAATACTATGTCCTACCCTGGTTTTACGTTTTCTCCACTTCAAAATACTAATTTAGTTTTAACAACAAAATATTTTCAAGACTGTTTCTGTTGATGAAAGAAAACCACGTTTGTATATGATTCATATTTCATTCTCTGCACATCAACAATCATCCAAGTTCAAATGAATGCACTTAGTATAACGTGCGAGTGATGATTGGCACCTGCAGCTTTGAATCTCATGTACTTGTATATTGTGTCTGTGAATAGTGAGAGCTATTTAGCCTAGAGCGCTATAGTGTTTCAATAGGAGATGCTGCCCAAATGAAAAAATTGTGTTGATAATACATCTCACTAAAACGCTGGTCTTTTTTATTGGTCATGAGTCACAAATAAAAATAACTGCGTGAATTAAGAAGTGAAGCATCCATTACAACAACACAAGCTCTGGGAATACATCACTGTGAGGCTTGTAAATATGGATCAGAGCTAAGGTTTGGAGTGGGCTCTTCCTGTTAACATTGTGTCTTATACCAGTAACCCCACCCAATGAACTCTGCATAATATTCATGCTAACTCCTCCCCTTTGGTCTAGCCCCACCCCCTGCTCCCGCCTGCTTCCTGGAAGGCTCCTCCCCCTCCCTCTCTGTCTTCTACTGACTCTTCCCACCTTCCCCTAACCCAACTGCCGTTCTGCCCTATAGGTCGGATGACAGCGACTCCTCTCTCTCGGAGGTGCTCAGGTAGAGATCTCTGTCTGTCATTCTGTTTCCTGTTGCCTGGTTGCCCCGCCCGGACACACCCCACTGGGTGAGGTCATGGCGTGAGCATGCATGTACCCTTTCCATTTGCTTCCTGTGCTGTGAACGCTGAGAATTGAATGAACCTTATGGACGGACTTGTTTGAATAGCTTCAACGATCTTGCAGGTTCAGAGGAAGGAAAACCGATTTCGAAATACAACGTTTGATCTGAATGTACTTGCTTAAATGTCAGCTTATGACACAAAATCATTTAATTGAACGTTTCCTGCCAAGCTGTTGGGAAGGCCCTATTAAAAACCTTATTTGACTCTTGCAACAGCTGTGGACTAGCATCAACAGGTGTGAGTACTTACTAGCCAACTCAAAACGATTTTGGTCTGGAGTATCACACCTACCGGCATTTTTGCCAAAATCTCAATGCCTTTAGCCAACTGCCTTTAATATTTTTCTCTGATTCACTAACACAAATTGTCAAAATAACCAGATCTGACAGAGAAGATCTTCAGTAGTCACTCCCAAGGCCATGAGCGTGACTCACCAACCGAACAATATTTTCAGGCAGTCCAGAAGTTGTTTTGAGTCGGCAGGGCCATTAACTCAGGGTTAAGACCCAACCACTGAGAGACACCCTGTCTCTTGATTCTTCAGCAACTATGCAAATGAAGCTTATAAATGAAAATCAGCTGGAAAATTGGCTAGTAAGATTCCGACCGAACTTAGCAAGGTTTATGTCTTTTTGTCCTTTGAACCACCAGTGATCTAATTCGTTTTTTGCAAGTTTCCTCTGGTTTCTGTTGTAAAGAATCCAAAAAATTGATTCAGACAAACCCCACAGGTTCAATTTTGTATGTTGCTCAATATTCTTTTCTAATCCAATATAGTGACACTGTGATTTCTCTGCACCCCATTATCCTGACAGCACAATTGCATTTTTTCCCTGTTTCTTTCGAGTTGTTCTCGTTATACCATTAGAAGCTAATGGCTCTATGATGGAACATGGAGTGCTTGGAACAACTCGGTCCCAAATTTCCTTTGAGAGACAAATCTGTTTAAGCGAGGAATCACAGACAGCTGGCTTAACTTGACAGCTTGTTCACCAAATGAGCCAGCAGTGATAAACTATCCCCGAATGAAACAAAACAGCATGATGATAAACTTCACAATATGATGTCTTAGTGTTTCGGCTAAATTGTCTAATCTGAAGCCAGTGTAACTTGGCAGTTTTTTATTTTTTTTAGATCAACACCCTCTTTGATTGGCATAAAGCTGAGTGAGTCAGTAGGGAAGGCTTCTTTTCTCTGAACCACAGAGGTCTGCTCTAAATCCCGTCATGGGGATGTTAGGATAAGGTTCATTCATAAAAACTCCCCACTTTGTTTATCCATGAAAAGCACAGAAACTCCATATCCTGACCTCTTCATGCTCGTCTTCTCTGCTGAGGAGACTTGGAGAAGGGGCAACGGGATCCACCCCCCCCCCCTGTTTTTCTCAGAACATCTGATTTCTTTGCTTTCAACCCAGTGGAAGGGGTCCAGAAACATGAGCTCACTCCTCATTGGTTATGTGCTGCATGAAGGTTTGGTTTTTAGAACATAATTTCAATTTTTTCTTCCAAATTTGCTGTCATTTGTTGTAATATTTTGGTTTTTGCACTTGTGTGAAATGGAGTGTTTCCTTTTTCATGCGTTTTTAGTATTGCAGGCCTTGCATGTCGAGTTTCTGGCTGTGTGTATAGACTTATTTTTCGTTTATGGCAGTTATGTTCATAGCGCAGCATGGCACTACACCTGTATTGAGTTTCTTTGATACTAAGTGAGGAATGAAATTGCAAGCATTTTCATTAATAATGCTTAACTCAAATGAGCAAAAAATTAAGCTGCATGGTGTGGAGAAATTATGTGGTGCTCATTTTTGAAGCTTGCTAAAGCAAACATCACTATTACCAACTCCCAACTGTGAACTGTTTCTCCTGGTGGGCAATAAAGAAAGCAAATCATTAAAGGAAGTAGGCGCATTTAGAGAAGTCTTATTTTGACTTGATTAGCAAACAGCCAGGACACTTTAGCAACCACAAAGCATTGTCCTGAAAACCACCTAGAACACTGTAAGCATGGCGAGGAGTTTTGCATGTGCACACACCACTTACATTTTCTTCAGATGGCAAAATACCTAGTTGCATATATAGTTAAAAATGTATAATATGCAAACACAGCTTCAGTTAAATGCTTTATCATAGTTTGTAAGTTAGTATTCATTGATTGAAGTTCGTACACACATAAACTACTTAGATACTTATGTTTAAACTCCTCATACAGTGCTGATCACAATCAGTTCCTTTTCGCCGGACCTCCCTAGAGTTCCTCTCACTTTAGAGAGCACAAATGTGCCAACAGAAGCCTCTCGCGTTTCATCTGTCCTCAGAGAGCTGGGATGTCCCAGTTTCCTCTTTAATCAGCCATCCTCTTGTCACCTCTGTGCGCCTGCGCCTGCACAGAGGCTTTGACGGCTCCACCAGCATTAGGACTTCACAGGCGCTGAGCTGGACAGAGGCTGATCCTAGCCCACAGGAGACCAATTTCCCTTCATCCCAAACTCCAGCTTCATTTGAGTCTCGCTCGGCCGGCAGGATGGAGCGTTCCGAGACTGGGCTGGTCGGGAATGCTGTCAGCCTTAAGGGGAAGAGCCTCATTATTTTTTTTTAGGGGAGGGAAAGCTTGTTTAGCCCTGCCAGGTTGCCAATGTATGTGGGCTAATTGGCAGCCACAACTAGAGTTACAATGCTTTCTTGGCAGCAAAAATTGACACAAAAAAATGAAGGCAGTTTTTGAAAAGTAATGCCTACTTTTGTTTGATTTTGTTTTTCTTCTGACAGATTACTTCCACCTGTTTACTCAAAGAAATGACTTCTCCAATTTCCAGGAGGGGTCAGTACTGAGCTGAAAACACCCCCACTGTTGTGACTGACATAATGCACCCTCCGTTCTGCTCAAGGGGGAGCATGGGAAAATAAGACAGAAATAAGTCAGACGAGAGATGAGAGATCAACCCCGAAGTCATTTTACTTGTCTTGGTCCCTCAAGTACAAGACCTTGAGACCTTAAGTTTTATTTTTGCTTCCTGAAGTTCTGGAGCAGTTTATAGATGAATCCGCTCTTCCATCAAAACAACGTGTGTTTAGCACATCTCTCTTGCGATAGAAACACTAATTTAGCCTGTGGCAGCGGTCCATCATAAATCGGACCAGAAATTCGGCTTGCCAGCTGTCAGTAAACGTTACATCCATTTGCAGTTGGCTCTGTGGTGCTGTTACGATGGATGTGGAAATTGTGGTTTTCAATTGCACACCAGCTTGCCTGCACTATTGTTGAGGAAAAACAGAAAAAGCTAGTGGATGCCATCCAATGCGAAGCATTGTCCGCTTTCCGATGTGATCTGAGCAGCCATGACAGGTGTCGTGTGATGGTTATGCCAAGCCTGTCAGCCATTAGACAGACAACAAAATGGTGACATCATAACACGAGTTCCAAAAACTGTTCCTGCCTCACCTTCGTCTGGCTGCGGCTTCAGTGACTGACGGGAGGTTTGACGGTGTTCATACTGGTGAAAACGAGATTTGAAGTGTCTTTTGGGAGCTGCTGGGAAACACTGTGCTTCCGAATTGGGACCATCTCGCTCACATACAGGCTGACAAGAGGAAGAAGTGCTGCCTGGCTCCTGCAAAGAGTCTTTTAAGCAATTTCTGTGGATATAAATACGTTTAAAAAGCCCCGTGTTGGTCTGCATCCTCAGATGCGGTTCCTTCTTTTCATCCCTGCTTGAGTGTCAAAGTTTCAGTTGATCCTTTGCAAATTCCGTGCTGCCTCAGCACACGTGTACAAACACAATGCACAAGTCATATCTACATTCTGTTCTTGTGCATATCAACTCAGGCTGGATTATGGACCAGGCCAATGGGGCAAGGGACCTCTGAAGCCTCAGGACATGCGACAAAAGAAACTGAACACAAGGGCCCTTGGTGCATACAGCCTACGTGGTGTGTAGAGTGCATTCTTGAATGGGTCATATGATGCGATTTAAATTTTTCCTTTCTCTTTGAAGTGTTACAAGCTCTTGGTGCATAAAGAAGATCTGTAAAGTTGCAAAGACTAAAGTCTCAAATCCAAAGAGATATTCTTTATAAAAGTTAAGACTTGTCCACGCCCTCCTAAAACGCCTCATTTAAACACGGCCCCACATGTCTATGTCACTGTGTGGGAAGATTTGCATAACGCCGCCTAAATGTTCACGCAAAGAAAGAAGGCGTAACTTATATTCTCGCTGTAGTATTGTTGCCGCCGCCGCCATGCCGTGGATACGCTGTGTTTCGTTGTGAAAGCAAAACTACTTTGTTTGGCCTTCCAAAAGAGGACGATATCCGCTTTGTCATGCCTAGAGCTGATCCGTGCTGGTCGCTGAGGATGTACATCAACTTCACGCTGTGGATCGCTGGATCGGCTTTCACCGTGGACGAAGCGGAGTCTAGCCCGGGGTCGTCACATGTGGTTGCCGCAAGCCCGCCGACCATTCCTCACTCTAGCCGCCGGCCTCCGCTCACTCTAGGCCACCGCCGCTCTCTCTAGCCCGCCGTGTGTGACGCTGTGTTTCGTTGTGAAAGCGAAACTACTTTGTTTAGCCTTCCAAAAATGGACACGACTAGAAATCAGTGGTTAAGTTGTATTTACAACACTGTTCCAGAA